GACCTGATAAATAGTTAGTCATTAATTTTATCAATTCCCTAATAAAACATCAGTTGCATTTAACAAACTTGATAGTTGAACAATAATTGGTTAACTTATCTTATAAAGTTGTATGACAGAAGTGAGCGAGAATAATAGATTGTCATTTCTATTTTTATTCTTTCCAAATCACTTATATGTTTATGGAGTATTTTGTCAGTAATTATAGTGAAAGCTTGTTATTTGCTCAGTACCACGGCAGTGAACTCAGATAATTCGTCATGATTGAAACAAGCAACGTAGCAAGAATAATTGATTTTAAAAGTGCTGCACTGAATGTCACGTGTACCCCGTGATGAAATATGAAGGCCAAAGATACGAAAGGATATTTTATGAATGGATTTATCACCGAGTTATATATATATATAAAGCGTTAATTTCATGAAAAATTATGAACAATGACGTCATAGAATAGTCTTAATTCTAGGTTATATATTGTAGCTGATATCAATTTAGGGTTGCGTAACTTCTACTTAATATGTGCGAATAAAAAGGCGTGCAAAATTATTTTGTTGACATAGGTTTATAATGTGAACAGAGTAAGATGATGAATGTATTTTCGTCATAATAAACAAATTTATTAATGGGATTAAATGAAGTGATGTTATGATATACGAGAAGTAATTAAATAAAGAGGAACATTTTCAAATGCAAAATCAATCAAACAAAATTAAGGCAATAGTATTGATAATGCTTAAGGGCTACAATAAAGATGTAGATAAGATATCTTTCTTTTATACGCAAAAGTCAGGTTTTATCTCATAGATGGTAAGAGCTTTTGATTATTCAAATAGGTGAAGATGAAGAAACTTTGATAGATTTGCACGAACTATATTAATAACCTTAAAATCAGCATGTGTGTACGTTGATAGGTTAGCGTAGATTAAATGTTTAAGAAAACTAACCGATTCTTTCTCATCCCCTTTGAACCATATCCATATTAAAAACAAGCACTGGCTACGGCCTATATATCTTGCTTCATAAGAGTTGGTGAATTGGAAGATGCAAATAGAAGCGATCAGACGAGGAGGCCTGATAATAAATTACTTGTAAAGAGATTTCTTCGCTGAATTTCGTATTTTTTTTTTATGTTTAAACGGAAATCTTAAGTATGATTAAACAAAGCGATGCCTAATAAAGAAACAGTCGAAATATTACGGTAAATGTGCTGCTTTTGTTAATAAACGTCGTTAGTAATAATTCAGGATTTAATTTAACAATTTATGATAATACAAAATCAACTATTAAGTTGTGCTTTATGTTGATCGCATTTAATGTTATTGACAACGGATTAACCTGATAAATAAAACTTAAACTTTTTCATTATTTTAAAATGTTCGAAACAGATAAGGTTCAGTTGCCAACATATAAATTAGGCTCTGCAATTCAGAAAAAAAATGAGACGAAGGTTTTTTAGCTATTTTGTTTTCTTAAAGTGTGAGTATATTTGTTATTATTCATTTCAGTGTCATGTATTTCCAGAAATCGTCACGTTCTGATTTCATTGTGTAGTAACTTGAATATTACAATACTGCCCGGGTTTCCAGATCGAAACACGTGTTTTTCTTAGGGGACCACACTCGAAGCCTTTGACTTAAAGGTCTGATCTACAAGACGGTGGAGCAACGTCAGGAGATGTAGTCCCATGATAGCCGGTAGCCAATAATTGGTTCATACGCCATTTGTTCCTTCAGGATATTGGAGCCCATCTGGAATCGGGGTTTTCTAACCCCCTTTAGGCGGACCACCAACCCAGTTAAAGCGCCGGACATTCACTTTTCGTTTTCTCAATTTCGTAAACAACACCCCCACCGCGAGAAGGCTGTGACAAAAACTAGTTCATTAAAATACATCAGTTATTTCATAAGAGTATTCATTTCTTTAAACTCTTGTTCATTATTTAGAATTTATTAGTATGTAATACTATTCTATGAATAATAATAATCAATGTCATAATTTGTACAAAATGATAAATGACAATAAACTTTGTTTAACAACTTCATTTTTCATCGTTTTTTTCTTTTAAAAAACGTATTAAACTTAATGTAAAAGTAAACGATATTACTTTTAAAATCAAATGACCTGAATCTATGTTAACAAACATAGGTGAATGATTATAGAAACACAGACTCATTTACTAATACTCTACTAAGTAAACACAAACTAAATTGATATGATGATTTCTTGTAATGACTAAGAAGTGTGATCAATAATCAAATAGATTCATGTAACGACTTAAACAACGTTCAATAGTCATTAAATAATACACATGCTCAAAATTTATGCATGAATAAGATAATTCCGTTGTATTCTATTGAAAATTACGAGTTTGGTTTATTGCTTCATGTTCCAAAAATAAAACAGGTTTAAACAGGCATTAACATTGAAGTAAGATGAAAGTTACTCATATCAGGAAAAGAAGATATTATTAGGCCGAATTCGGATGATGGGTATATATGTATATATATTACATATGGATATTTTTTTCATTGTGTTTTGTCATTCTGAACAAGCTAAGAATACACAGTAAACAAGAAAACTAAAAAGTTGTAATAAAATGACTCTTAACTAATAATGGACTCAATAAAGGAACGTTTTTAAAAAAATTTATCACAGATTAATTCAGAATGATTTCGTAATGTGAATAAGTTAAATCTTGTTTCATCGTATTTTTTACCATTTTGAAAAGTAGTGTATACTAATCGATCATTCATTTTATGTACTGCAGTGACTCGTAAGTTAATGGGTAATTTCCAGGGGATTGAATATTATTTGAGAAAAGTTTAAGAATAGTCAAAGTGATTAGAAAAACAGCAAATCATTTCATCTATTATTTTCTTGAATTGGAACTCTTCACTTTACAATGATCAAATACACATTACCTATTGCAATTGGTAATCTGTTGAAAATAAAACTAAATCTTGTTTGCTCTATGTATAATTATCAGTATGTCTTTATACAGAAGAATAAAGAAGGAATCAATTTTTTAAAAATGTTTTTGGCTTAATGGTCATCAAATCACTGAGACGTATATCGGTAGAGCAAAAAGTGAGGTTCTTATTCATGTCGAGTAAATCTCACTGAAATTGACATTAAAAGTACAACGTATCGTTTAACATTATATACGCCCGTCACTAGCTCGATAAAGGACATGAAGCTGAACTCACAAGATCCTTAAAATTAGTCAGTAAATAGGAAAAAATAAATCTACTGCTTTTCAAAGAAACTATCACTAACAAATTATTGGAACACATTTTATGTGTTCACAAAAGGAATGCCGTTAACTTATCTCTGCTCTACCAACACAAGTTTCAGTACTTAGTTGTGTATTGGCTCTTGTTTGGACGTAATTGATATTACATTTGTTGTAGTTTAACTTATGTCATTAAAATTCCACTGCCCACCTCCTCTCTAAAATCATTCAAACATACATTCTAAAAGTAAACAATTTTATGCTAAGTGTCCTGATATACCCTTGTTTTATCTTCAGTTTCGGATCAGTACTTTGTTGTCAATGTGATAAAATGTTTTAAATTTTCTAAATTGAGAACTCATATTATTTATTAAGTTATGAACAGCTAAACCGAATTCATGAACTAACTGGATTTATATTATTTTTGTAATATTACATTTTTTGCATTATAGAGATTAGTAGAGGGGAAAATTAAGTGGCTTACAATGAAGTAGATTTTTCACTTCGATAGAAGTCTGTAGGTTGTTTCCTAATGGATATCCAAGCATGAAGAGAGTAAATCGAAGCTAAAGCAGACTACTTACATTAAAGATATCATCATGTAACCACTTAAACTAACACATGACAGCAATTTAAGTTGTGACAATGAAAAATAAGACTGGATCTGTGTACCTTGGTCTGTGAAAAAACAACAAATTGTTCGAAAGTATTAATAAACTGGTGAACTAAATAAAATCACTATGAAGATAAAAATATATAGGTTATATCCATTAAGTAACTGTAAGTTCACCGAACTTTGCTGATGACTTCTTCCGAATTACATGAGTATCGTCTTTGATGACATCCAGACAGAATATCTTGGAGTCATATATTTTATTTAGACATCATTATTCAACATATTAATGAAACAAAAATAGCTATTTGTGCAACTAAAAGAACTTGGATTTCTCACAATTTAATGTGAAATTTTAGTCTAAAACAAAAGTATGTTACATTGAAGAGTGGATTCTTTTTCTTTGGTATTTTTTATTTTAAACTGAAATTAACTGAACCACTACGCGTTGATACAATAGGTCTACAACGTTCAAATACATTATATTTAAACATTTTCTCATTTTAATTATGACAGAGAAAATTAGTAGCTATTTAATGCAACAGATATTTGTTCCATAATAAATAAAACAAATTTCGAAAGCTGGAAAACCTACAAAATTGCTTTGATTAGGTAGCTTTTAATTTATCCTAATAACCTGTTGACTAATCATTATTATTGGAATCGAATTGTCTACTTTTAAATAACCCGAAATAATTTTATGATAAAAGATTTTATTTTTCGAATTCGGAGAACATTTATGAACGAGATATTTTACAGAAAACTAGACATTTTGTATATTGACGTGGTCCAGTGCTTCCAGGTTTTCCATGGTGGTCTAGCTTCAATTGACTCATGATATCAACAGTTGAAAACCTACAAGTGTTGTTAATATTATCTGAGAGTGTGTCATCTATAACAATAAATTCTTGGGATAAGAATTTAATTGATGGTTTAATACATTTAACTGTACAAATTACTATCAAATAAGTTAGTACTGTTCTTTGACCGATCGTCACTCTTTTAAGTCCCATGTATTAAGTAATATATAGGATTGTGACTAAATTATCGAATGTTTTTCTATATTTGTAGTTTGACGTGTGGCATTTAGAAACATTTTAAAAATATCACATGCAACCGATAATAAATGCATAAATCAAATAAATATTGGCTTACTCCGCATAGACGAACTAACGCTAAAGATAGATGCTGTTTCTGAGCCACTTTCATTTGTTTGAGATATCCACGCTGGATCTAAACTTGGACGATATGTACTGTGTCGGTCCTGTAAATTAGTTGTTTTGAAGGATTCACTTGATGTACGAGGTGCTGCTGGTGTTGATGAACGTCCTGTACGACGACTTTGTGATGGTCTCATGGTAGCTGAATAGTTAGGATAAACTATGTCATTAGGATCATGGCACTTCTGATTGATACCATTCGATAGTTTGTTGAGATTATATGCAGATCTAGATTGGTTTAAATGATTATTCTGATCATCAGACGTTGCCATGTAATCTATAAAGGAATTTAACAATTTATAGGATGTCTTGATAAGTAGGTTTGCTTTAAAAATCAAATAGTCCTTTGATTTGAAACGAAAAGAAATGTCCTCAGTGTATTGTACTTACATAAATATTGAGGTAGACCTGAATCACTCTGAAAAATGCAGAAAGGTCAACTTTGTCATTGAATGTCGATTAATAATTAGTTTGTTCACAGCTTTTATTTTCTCGTTTTTCGTGTTGTGACTGTTTTTCTTATGAGATTTAGCTGGATCCTACTCACTTAATCATTCAAATGATAAATACAGATAAATGCATTTAATAGCTAACTGATTGTTTAAATAAAATTAGCTGAAATGAGATTTGTCCATTTCTACTGCCTTAATTTATGTCAACACTATATAACAAGTAAAATGATGATCCCAATCACTCACTTCGAAAAATGTATAATGTTAATAAAACAGAATAGGTTGAAGACAACACAGGAGCCTTACTAATATTTCATCTTTAAAAATTGTCAAGTTGCACACTTTTATAACTAATTCCTTGTTTTGACTTATATAATAAGAATATTCTATACATTTTCTTTTCAAGAATGCTTGCTGAATAGTAAGATTTCGAAAATTATTTTTCTTTTATATCCATAAATTAACATTCATGCAAGAGATGATTTATTTTTACAATTTTTGTCTCCATTGTATTAGAATAAACGTAGATTACTATTTTTATAGTCACTTTCTTCGTCTGTATTTTATTATAAACTTATGGAATATTACAACTAAACACTTGATCAAGTCATGTATTTTGGTTAATTACATATTTTAACTCAACTAACATTTCAACGAATGAACTTGAGGATGATATTCCCAATTAGCTTAATTGATATGAGATAATTAATTAATTCAATAGAATTATTCATGAGATGAAATCTACTTATGAACATGAGCGAGGAATATAATTTGTAGTGACAGATATTAATTTGCATATGTTATAAGAAAATTGCTTAAGATAAAAATAGATGGAAAGATAAGTAAATTAAGCATGTCGCCTAAAGAGTAATATAAATAAGCTTTCTCATTCTGTCTTCATATCGCGAGACTAGGACCAAGCTATATAGAATGAAACAAATATTTAATAGTAATTTAGAATTTTCATTTACTAATAAGAACTATTTCATCATCATAATCGAAACAAGTATTTATGTTATACATAAAAACTTTCATCTAAATTTGGACAAACAGTTTCACAGTAGTTAGCTTAGTTGATTTAGTATTCACATAAACCCGGGACTTAGTTTGTTGTCTACTTTAAGTTTGATAGTTTTGATTTCGAAGATTCAGATTAATTTGATCTTCGTTAACATTTTTATTTCTGACTTATGTAAGCTACAAATAAATTAGAATGATGTAATATAATTCTGATTGCAACCAGAATACGATTAAAAACGTGATTTATCAAGTTGAGAGACACAATTATGTCACATAGTGGAGAACGTTACACAGTTGAATGGGTGAAACGGAGTTATTTATATATTAAATGAGGTGGTGAATATTATAGGAAGTAAGAGCGAGTAGCGTACGGTATATCTAAAGTCGAATATTTGGTAACAAGATTTAAATGTCAATTTTTAAAAAGATCCTAATGACATTCACAATTACACAAAGTAGATGGGCGAAAACCACTCAGCGAAACTATGGAGAATTAAGTGATGAGTAAGCATGTCAAATCCGTAATAAATGGATTTGGCATAAGATAAAAAGAATTACGGAAATGAAATAGCTTGATGATTTTATATGCGAATTTGTAAATATGAATAAATTGAATGATGTGACATCTCTTCTAAACGTTTACTTGTCTTGAGATACAACCTACTTAAGAAGACAAATGCATAACCCCTTCAACACGACGAATAACAGATAAGAAATATTGATGATAAATACAACAGTAAATCAATCTGGAAGGAAAAACTTTCTAAAGACTGTTCATCTCCTTGATTTCAAAAAACAACAATCTTACTTTTATTATCATTAAAATCTATGGAATCAGATATAGAATTTAATTGATAACCACTTATGCTGGTATTCATCCATGTGTTATTTCTTATCATGTGGTTCCCTTTAAGTGTATTACAATGATCTTTTTCAAATTCAGGTAATCCATCTACTTCAGTTATTCCATTTTGCTTTGAGAAGTCATTCAGTCGCCCCATACTAGAACACCTTTGCTGTGATCGTATACGTGAAAATGATCTTCGACGAAGATTACGCTTTAGATAATTACGAATTGGAACTAAAAATGCAAAGGGATGAAAGGAATATTTTGTAATATAACGTAAATAAAGATATAGTCATTCTACGAAACGTGAAATTTCTCTAGTAATCTGTACGAGATTCTATCAAAATAACTAAGAAAATTTAAAGTTAGTAGTAAACCTTCAGTCTACATTTAATTTGTAGAGTAAAGTTCTTTTTACTGCAGACTCAGTCAGCTACAACGTAGGACCAGGCACATATGTGCATCGGTTCAAGTTGCCATACTTCATTAGCACAAAAAGATGAACACCGAATTGATACTACAATATTAGCAATATATAAAAGAAAGAATGCATACAAGGATATAATACAGGGAGAAAAAGTTAGTTCGTAGATATAAAAATATAAAGCAGTTTTATTCTGGAGGTTTAAGGGGAGACAAAGAGTGTATACACCTACTCCATAGTGATCGATTCTGAGCCATGTCATCCAGAATCTCCAACCATCGGTTATGATAGTCGCGCGGACCCCAACCAAGTAGTCTACCAGCATGACTCACATCAGAAGTTAGTGACTTCAAGGACTGATGCCACGTTTTGATTTGGCTGCCCTTAACTTTCTTTTAACCGTCTCTAACACCAGTCAGCTTTGCGCGTCGTGGTAATCGGTGTTCAGGCTTGCATAACACTTTTCCCAACCATCTCAGTCTATAAAGATTCACAACCTCATCAACTGATTTAACATCATTCTCTAATACCCTGCGTCTAACCTCACTATTCGACTTCTTCACTCTCTATCCTTAGTTTAGATGTTGTCTTCGTTTCAGCTCATGAAAAATCTAAAATCTTTAGTACACATTATTAAGGATTGCATTATAGCCATGTTACATTTGCTTGTGTTTTATGATATTGTATCCAGATGCATATATATGCATATCAAAAATTCAAGTCCAATCTCGTTCCTAATGTATATAAACTTAGTAGTAATTAAATAAATTAACAGCCAAAATTGTTTTATTTTTATTGAAGTTTATTCTGTTTGTAATTATGACTTCAGTGTAGATTTTTGTTCGATAAAAGCTTTAAAAAAAGATTATTTTCATAATGATGAACAGGAATGAACTTTGACACACTGTTACGATGATCATGTTCAAACAGGATTTGAGTTCTTATTGACATATAAACGTTGAAAAATTAACATGAAACTTGTGTTATTTTTTTGGCTTAATCTCATTATGCTAAAACGATTTAACTGGTCTAAACAGTGTTACATAGTATTACGATTATTAGAACGTAATTAATAATGATAATAAACTCTAATTTTGTGTTAAACTCAGATTTTTCTACAAGATAATTACTAGACTAGATAATAATTATTATAATCCAGTTGACCGATAAGACTGGATGTTCAGTTATTTAAGATATAGCTGACCGTAAGTGCTGGTTAGAACAATTAGCATGCCTAATGATACAATCTACTTCGATTTAACCAGTAAAATAGTAGTAGTTAAATTATGCAAATAAATTTCTGTCGCGCATTCGATGTTTAAATTGGATTTTTTTTAAAGTGATAAGTAATACCAACATTTAAGAAATTAATTTTTATGACTGTATTATGTTCCAAGCTTTAGTTGGTTTTTCAGGTACTTCTATCTAGGTAAAAGGCTTAATTGAATTTTAAAAGGGAAAAGAATTTATGAAATATTTTATGAAAGAATTTGGTCCACTTAACTGTCTTGTAAAAACTCAATAAAAGCCAATAATATACAATAAATAATTGAAATAAACAAAACATAATCAACAAATGGGATTTCGAAACTGAAAGCAAATGGAATGCAAAATTGTAGTTATAGGAATCCATAACAAAAGTATTAAGTTGAAAGAGTTTTTTTTTCTGACATAAACCATATGTGCTTTTCAAATGGACAGCAAAAAATAAGAATCTGAACATTGTGAAACTGGAGTTAGACCCTAGGGGTAAGGTAAACATGGTAATAGAATGTGATCTGGATAGAGAAATAATGGCCAAGTGAATTTATTCGAATAACCTTCTGAGACTTAAAAGAAGAAAGCATAATCATCCAGAAATTCTGCAAACCAAAGTGGTAACCCAGGTTACGTGTTTAAATTTGGTTAAGATTTTCAAAATTCCTACCTAGCTCATATCTATCCAAGCTAATCCGAAGTATTCGAAACTTTAAGATAGTAGGAAGATTTGCTTATGTATATGCTTCAGGATGAGTAATTTTGCGATAGATCTCAATGATTTGAAGATGATTTCCTCCGAAAACTTGTTTCATGATTAGAATCATTTAAGCCTGAGCAGTTTCAAAGAGCTGCTAAACACTATTTTACTTAACACCGGAGAGTTATGCTGATATGAATGAGTGTGGTGACAAATGTCTAACGTAAGGACCCGTGGATTCTCGTTCGTAGACCTAAAGGTGCCATCCATAAACATTCCTGAGAAATTTGAGTCGCTCTTTGTTGACTATTTTTAAAGGGCTCTTCAATTTAACTCAGTCAGAGATGAAACGTATCTCTAAACTGTATAGCTTTATTGTTTTGATGAAATAAAAATAAGAAAAGGTTCATCTTTCGAAATTCATAGGAATAATATGAGGTTTACAATTACTCATTTTTCATATAACTGGATAAAACGGGAATCTTATTAACATACTTTAACATATATGTCAAATCGTGGATTACTTACCAACATCTTGTTCGTGAAAACCTTTAATTAAATCTGCTATTTCTATGTGATTAGAAATCATTGCTTGTTCATAAGTCGTGTGTCCATTGAAATTTTTTATATTTTTATCAGCACCTCGAAATAACAGCATCCGAGCACAGGATTCTTGCCCGGTGTATGCACATATATGAAGTGGGGTGTTGCCGTTCTTCGATGTTTGTACATTAATTTCAGCACCGTAGGCAAGTAAAATTTCCAAATGTTGTACACGACCAAACCGACATGCCTATTTGAAATAATCAGGAAAATAGTTGAGCAGAGGACTTATTCCATAACCACTGTGAAGACTGTTTAACAGTCAGCATATGCATGATTAATTAATAAATGGTTGATTTTTACTTCAGCCCAAGGTTTTAATTAATGTTATCATAAACGCTGTTTATTTACCATTCCATCACATACCTGATACCAGTAAAGGTGTACATGACATGTTCAGATAAAAACATCTAATTACTAGACATCTGAAGCTCTATAGGTTTTACAATACAACGTATATATGGTTATTTTTAACAAGGTAAATAAGTTAAAAAAATCAAAAAAGACTCTCAGTATGGTTGCAGAGAACTGATAGGTGAAGAATTTCGGAAATCATATTGCTAATAATAGCAGAATGTATATTAAAAGAAACTCCATTTAAACAAAAGATGCTTGATATCATGTGACATAATTTGTTTTCTATATGGTTAGATGTTTTAAACTACTATTAGTAATGAAACAGTGTTTACCACATGTAAAGTGCGGATTACTTTGTAGCGAACGCCTAGCGTTTTCTAGTTGATGCCATCACTGAAGACAAATGGATAAACTCCAATATTATTATGCATAATATGAAGCTTCTTCAACATAATCATTCTTATGTTTCTTCCTTGCACTTATGCTCTTCGTCATTCAATATGATACAATCATCAAAGGTAGCTTAGAAAACCAACAACCATTAGTGATTTCTGAATCATCGAGTTCCAAACATTTTACAAGTCACGCTAAGAAATAAAGTTAATAAAACTTCTATAAATGAAGAAATATTATATCATATCAGACTAAAGAAAACTGTCTGAATCAAAGTGCCTTCCGGTTACATAAATCGTCCACTATACAATTACTTATAAGCATATAACCAATGAGACGAAACGTTCAATGTTGTTCGGACCGTGATGTAACCTGTCTATTGATTTGGACTAAACTATGAGTAAATGTTGTATGTAAGAAGCACTAAATATTTGTTTCCTCAAGTCAAATATTTGGTAAAATTAATTGACCAACATTGTATAAATGTATTTGTGGTTTGATCTAAATTACAAACCTTATAGGATACAGGTATCGACTCTTGGAGACTCAATTTAATTGTCATTTATATCAACTGAACGTTATTTACATAGGTACAATAGTTTTCAATTAATTTTTTAGTTATATATATCGTTATGTTTGTTAGTCACAAAATATTTTGTTCTTACTGATTGTACATCTATGTATAGAAGTTTACAGTAGAGTATGCAGAACCTACAGAATATTGTAACCAGAGGCGACAACAAATTTCAATAGTAAAATGATCTTTAACTTCTTGAAAAGGTCGAAAATAAGTAGGTGTTCACTGCAACTGTCCAACTGTTTACCAAGTTGCTTGTATTTACGGAAACTCATTTTTCTTTTATTAGTAACTTGTTAAGATTTAGTAAACAAGTATCATATAAGGTTTGTAAACAAAATACTGCTAATTTTTTACATCAAGTTTAAATACAAAGGTTTCAGGTCATTATTGATATTTACTCTGGTGTACATATTCTTCAACTCAAATCTCAGAGATAGTTGATATCGATTTCATAGTCCAAAATGAATAATGTTCTTGCATGTGAGTATTATTAATAATGTTTGACTTGATAATCTCAAACTAATTACTCATTTAGTGGATTGTTGACAATGATAAAATAATGATATATATGTATTATTTAAATGAGTATAAAGCTGAATTCCTAACATTTCTAGGCTAAGTATAAATCGTTTCCTCATGGAACTAATTTGAACCAAATTACTTTTTTTTCTAACAACTTACAGTAAATTCACTTGTTATCCTACTTGAATCTTCCCATTGCTATTTAGGACTGCAATTGATCAGTTTCATGTTGGCATGTGTGCATCCTTTTCGGATTGCCTCGATACAGCCTTAAGTCACAAGCTTCTTAAGCAAAGATGGATAGTGGCTAGAAGTGGGATCCAGAATACGCGTTTCGTCCTATTTGGGACCCGTCAGCTGGAGGTACCTGCATTCCAGAGTTGATGTTCACTCTGAAACTTGAGCACAGTACCGTTCGCTTCAATCGCCATCGCATTCTGGATTCCACTGCTAGTCACTATCTATCTTTGCTTAAGAAGCTTGTGACTTAAGGCTATATCGAGGACGTCCGCAACGGATGCACATATGCCAACATGAAACCGATCAATTGCAGTTTTAAATAACAATGAGAAGATACAAGCAGAACAACTCCAAGTGAATTTAAATTTCACCCCATTGCGCAAGCAGGTGGCTATCAGGACTCAGTAGCTAAGTGGATAGAGTTATGGAGTTTGAAGCGAACGGTACTGGGTTCAAGTTCCAGAGTGAACATCGACTCTGAGATTCAGGTATATCCAGTTGACGAGTCCCAAATAAGATGAAACGCGCGTCCTGGATTCCACTGCTAGCCACTATCCATCTTCGCTTATATAACGGCATTGCTATTATTTGCAGTTGTTTTAATTTCGGTAACTATGTGGAAGTTGAAGAACAACTTCAAGCGAAATATATTATTTTAACTCATTTGCTTAAGTTTGGAAAGTTAAAAGATGACTGATTTACTGTAAATGGACGTATCCGGTAGCCAGAAAGTTAAACAATAAAAATTTAATCTAAATAGATCTTGAAAAGTTTTCCTTCTTACACTAAAAGACAAAGGTGCCAGAACATGATATTCCTCCTACAGTAAATTTGTAGCTAATTCAATAATGAATAACACATTCGAGGGTTATTATTACCTTACAACATCACATACGTGATTTATTAAATTTCGAATAACACACTATTCATTACATTCGCTCTTTATTAGCATTTTATTAAACCATAAATTATTTTGCGATTTGGGGGGATGTTCTCCTCTAAATTCATTATTTCTTTTGTTTTGTTGTTAATTCATGAATCGAAAGATTGATGGATATGTATTAATAGATAAATGTTAGGAAAAACGTTATCATGGTGAAGTAAAGTAGAATTTATTATCACAAATGTATATGTAGTCAACAAAATCTCTTGTTATTGAAATCAACATTTACGTTTGTCAGTCATCTCCCTTTTTATTATTTTCCGGTATAAAAAACTATTTTAAGAAAAGTAGTTTCTAGTGCTTATATTACTCCAGATGTGACAATGATCAAGAAAAATACAGCCATACGATCTATGGGTAAATCGGCTGCCAAAGATATTGTCTGATGAGATATTTGTATAACATTTATAACGGAATATTTTTACAAACATTATAACTCATAAAACCCACACAAATTTAAAAATTACATAAATTTAAAGCTTTAACAATATATTTGATGTGGATCATACAATTCCTGAATGAGTAATTGGATGACCCCATTACTGTTTAAATAATATTCTCAGAAGGGGTTTGTGGAGATTTTTAGAAATTTTCACAGATTGAAATCATGAGTCAGTTGAAGCTAGACCACCATTGAAAACCTGGAAGCACTGGACGGCCGTTTCGTCCTACTATGGGACTCCTCAGCAGTGCGCATCCACGATCCCGCACCACGCGGGGCTCGAACCCAAGACCTACTGGCTTCGCGCGCGAGCACTTAACCATTAGACCACTGAGCCGGTATCCAACGGTGTTAATGTCTAACTTCAACCAATCCACGAAGTTGCGCCATCATATACCATTGTCTTCAGTGAGCTGATATCTCACAACAGACCTGGTTGTACTCCACTGGTAACGGCTTCCCACTAGAACTCCAGGAGTATCTCTTGAAGTCAGTCACTAGTGAGCAGATGATTAAGTGGTTAAGTGCAGATGGTTAAGTGCTCGCGCGCGAAGCCAGTAGGCCCTGGGTTCGAGCCCTGCGTGGTGCGGGATCGTGGATGCGCACTGCTGAGGAGTCCCATAGTAGGACGAAACGGCCGTCCAGTGCTTCCAGGTTTTCAATGGTGGTCTAGCTTCAACTGACTCATGATTTCAATCTGTAAATAATATTCAACAAGATATGATAGTTTCTATGATGCATTAGTTATTTAAATAAATAAAATGGACTACCAAGTCTACTTCAGCTTTTTTTCCAAGTTAAAGACCTCTACTAATCCACTATTTCTATAAATTGTTTTCTAACTAAAGACTAACGGAATTTTAAAATATTTATTCAACTTTTGACAACAAAATACAAATATTATTGTAGGTTGAATGTTACAAGAGCTCGTTCATGCGGCTTACTAGTCCCAGTTATTAATCATTAACCAATGAACTGATTGTTTCATTTGAACTAGCTGAAAACAGTTAGCTTTTATATTTTGACAGTGCAATTATTACTGTTCAGATAGTCTAATAACTTCCATAAAGAGTAATTAACATAGTTTACGGATAATTTTTAAGAAATTAATTAATTTGATGCCTTTTTGAGCAGTAATTATAAAATATAATTATAGATATTTTAAAATGTTAGGTAATGTTTAATGACAATTTCAATTGGTTATGATATTCAAAATTAAGTCACCTGATGTATTTCTTGAAGTCCTGCTTCATCTGCTACTCCAAGAGGAGAATGATCAAATAGTAATCGTTCAACACATAAAGATATTGTGTTGTTCAATACAGCATAATATAATGGTGTTAAATCTGCCTTATCTCGTGTATTCGGTGATTGACCAAGATCAAGAAGTACCTATAAAACATACATTGTAGATAAAGTCGACTCACCAGAAGAATGAGTAAAAAATAAATCAACGACTAAAATCAACTACCTGAAAATATTTAATATCGATCCGTAGCAGTTCGGTTATTTGGTTAAGACGCCAAACAGGATTACTCGAAAAAGTAATTCAGTACATTTATGTTGAAATAACAAAGGCGAAATATTTAGATTTCCTGGCTATATTTTCGTAAATGAGGTCAAGTTAGGCTTAGTAAAATTGAGTGACTATACAACGGTTTATTACGTAGGTTATTTTATGAAGAGTTCGGTTAGTATAAATGTATCTCTTTCTACTAGCAGAAACAAGTTAAATCATTATTTGAAATCAAAAGGTTAATAGACAGACTCAACAGGGTTGACTTCGGATGTCAGGTTAATTACTTGAAAAGTTTTTTTAAACTGCATGACATTTCGTTAACATTCGCTTTGCTTTCATTTCGCAACATGACACTTTTTAGGTGAAAAGGTTCTATATTTTTGGAAACGTGGTCATTACTTATTTTTCCAAACTGAACACAATTCTGTATCTTATCTGTCATAATCAATAAAAAGATTCTCAAAATTTCGTCATACATACAGCGATTTGTGAAGCAATGCTTCACTAAAAAAATCGGTCCTTTATTTTTCCAAACACATTTTTTTAAAAACTAACATGAGTATTCACTCTAAACAAAACGTAAGTTTGTTTTCTATGTTGTAAACCATTACTCTATTGCTTATTTATCTAAGGAACCAACGAAACAAACATTTTTCCATTCTACTTATCATACTAATCGAAGCAAAAAACATCTAATTTTTATTATATATGCAGTTGTACATTTATAACTACAAAATACTTTTTCCAATTACCACATTTCAGATTATTTTTGACAAGATAAAACTATTTTTTCTAAATCAAGATATTTTTCTTGAAACTACTTGAAAAAGGTCTTGAGTAGTATATCAAAACGTAAAGATTAATCAGTTTTAAAATAATTAATGACGTGAATGACATAGTGAAGTGATAACGCTTCAATGACTTTCAATGAATCAATAAATATTATCAACAAAGATTCAATACTTCAACAAATGAGCTTTTTAAGCAGTTAACTTATCAGAAATTTTGTTAAGCTCAGTTTGTTTCTATGTATATGCTTTATCTATATAAATGTTGATCATTATTACAATGTTCAAACTAGTCATAAAAACACATTTAACAGTGGCATATTTTAACATAATTAGAAGTTGGATAATGCGAATGAAATTTATTTGGCGGATTAATGTCACTTAAATGTAATTTGGAACAGCATGAAAAAAAGACATCTTCAATGGATGTTCACTTGTGTTACATTATGAAATTTAGTATTGATATATGTGTCCGAATAAAAATACTAATCTGCTCTGTTTTTGTAAACTAGCATTTGACAAACGTTATATGAAAGACCAATCAACTCTTAAACAGTAAAGTTGTCAAATATAGGTACTAAAAAATTTTCTAAAGTATATGATGATCTAATGATTAAAAGTAACCTCAAGTATTATCATACTTTTGCCTTCATAGTGTGATGTGTGCTACTGATGTTGACAGATATAAGTAGTGTGTATCATCATCTAAAGTGGAGTGCCTGGCGGCAGAAAGTTGTGAGAATAGAAGACAACGAGATCAGATTGTATTTGGTATGGAAACGAAGAAATAACAAAGTTTGAGACAGTTGATGGATATTTTGCAAATGAAGCATTATTGTATGGTCCTCAGATTTTACCAAGATGTTCTGTAGGGTTGTATTAAAAGACATCTAGTTGTCCCCGACTTTGTTCTCGTTCACTACAGTAGCACTATGTCTTTGATGGATTTTTCAGCAGATAGTCAAACCTCAATTTATCTGAGTTCACTTGTCTAAGCTGCTTTGTCGTACGTTAAGCATAGCTTAACTAAGATTAGTGAACTAATTAATAACTGTGATTTATAAATATCCCAAGTACAGCAGTAAAACCTATTTTCCTTCAACCTACATAAGTTATGTTAACTGATATTAGTTCAACACTGGTATTACAATTATGCTAGCTGTTAAAATAATTATAACAAATCAAATTTTTCCTACATTACATAGCTTTCATGTTTCAGCTAATGAAAAACTAGAATTATGTTTCGAGACTCGGTACTTAATAAAATCTCACAAACTATTGAGTGTTATCGGATCATTGTAAATATGGTGTCGTAGAGCTATGTAAAGTTTTTTAATTACTGTTACGATTCACCTAATTTCCAATAACATATCGTTTGTAGCGTAGAGTGTATTGTATTTGTTCATCTGTCCTTGAAATGTTCATTTAGTTGTAAAACCTAATGTGTTATGATCGTCTTCTGGATAGAAGTGCATGGTTTGTAATTTAAAGTAGCAAATCTCAGGATGAAAATTATATCATATTAGTTGTTAATGGCATGCCCTTGGATGAGTGCTTAGATAATGGTCAAAATTTAGAAGTTTATTAGATTTTTATTAGTAATCAATAAGAACTCGTTTTATATGAAAGAATAAATTATCATTAACCCCTTAACAGCTAAATATTTTTCTTCCAATAAACAGGTAACTTGCTGACAAACCAAATTTATCACTATTGTGTTTACTAGATCTCAGTACATTTCACTTTATTTAAACGATAAGAAATTCTGACCTAGTATATAATGTCACTCCATCCTAACTGTTAGTCAATAAAAGTTGTTTATATCATAAATACGACCAACAGTTTACTTGGTTCTGTTTACAAGGAAACTTTAAACAAGGAAGGTAGTTAAAGTGAAAAGTTTCAATATGTTCAAAATTTGAAATCAATCAATGGATTTTGTGAACAACCATATGAACATAAACATGTTAAATGGTTAGTAATCACTGTTTTCCTATGGGTAACGCGACTGGACTACAAAATGTCAACTTAAAAAAAAATATGAAGCATATATGGAACAATATGAGGAAATTTCCTGTACAAAAGATGGATAATTTATCAATTTGGTTTAAGAGAAATTAAACATTCTCTAAATCATCGTCAACAGTAATATGGTATTGTTTTTCTAAAGAAAAATAACTGCAAAATTATATGCACAAAAACATATGGTTGATCTTATCTAGTCAGGCGAGAACAATAGAATTTTCTATTTTTATTTCTAACATGAACTTCCGTGTGGATGTGATCAGGTAAGCAATCGTGAATCATAAAATAACATGGCCATGAAAAGTAATGTCAAGGATGAAAACTCAGATATTATTTTTGTGGATATTTCTACTAACATGCAGCAATGTATTTATGCAACTATTGTATGCTTTAAAAATCATATCAGTACTTGTCCATTCGGATATATATTTCATTCTGCATAATAAAATCACTTATTGAATCACGTTTGCAGATTATTTAGTAGATTGAAGGCAATGTCACAATCGAGTTCTATGTAGTTATCGATGTCTACCAATGACTAGACTAATTAAATGCTCTCAGTACAAAATTTTCATGAATTCAGTTGGCTTAAAAGAAAAACCAAATTATGACTTTGTGCTTCGCAATATTTAACAGCTGAAAATGCTCCAAATTCTACGTAAACTCAAAATCATAACAATCTCCACTTTGCAAAATAAAGGGAACAAGAAACTTAAGGAAGGTTATCTTGACTAATTGAAGACGTGTAAATCTGTATGCCATTACGTGATAAAAGCGGTAGCCAGTTCCTGAAGTGTTTTAAAATACAAATAAAATGTGTCAGTAAACATCCGAAATTTTATGAAACAGATACTAAGCCCAGAAGCAATTGTAAATGTGATAATGGATGATCATATCAAATGCTGTCGAACTAGGAGTATTTAACATCATTATTCACACGTGAACCACTGTTTAAAATATAGTAGGCTAGCAATTAAAAAACAGCACCAAGAACGACTTATCAACAGACTTTATAATATTAACAATGGGAAATTGAAATAACACATATTTTTCAAAGATGTAATCAGTTAAAATAACTTATACATAATTGAAAACTTTAAAACACATTTATCAGACGTTTCTCTACTTTCTATGAAGACTTTTAATACCGATCATTATTTGTCTCTTGAAAATATCTGTTTTTTAGTATTCTTTTCAGATTACATTCTCTTTTTTCGACTTGTTGCTTACTTCAATTCCTTGTTAATTTGATTTCTCATTCTGTCACATTTATTATGTTTATGTGAAAGTAATTATAAAAATATAAATCTGTTTCCCATCGATAAAGAAATTGAGTTGAAATTAAATATTATGTAATTTATGCAGCTATATTACACGGTAACAGTAACCCAATTATCAAACATTGCAATTCCTAACATTAGGAAAAAATTCCAACATCACAAAAGTATTACATGAAGATGAGAGGATATTTAAAAATAAGATGATTATGACTAAATGACTGATGTGAATATCGTTATTCCAATGAGATTTAATGTAATCTCAGGGTCGATTTCTCGTTAAGAACTAACTTCAAATACGGAGATTTTGGTAACTTATGAGTGCTGAATTGTTACTTCACATATGTCCGGGTTTTATAATCAGTGTTCACCTTCTATACAATACATCATAGCGAAATATGAACTGCCATTTCAATCTTAATTTTCAACCTGTATATAACCGAGGAAATAGTGACTAGTGGTGTGGAAAAATTTGAGCGTTGGGTAAATGATATTCCTTTACTTTAATAAAGCTATCAGCATAAATTAGAGGAACGTTACTGAAAACAATTTTGTTTTACTTTTCACAGATTGGAAAATATAACTTTCTAACAATAATGAAATGGTGACTACTTCAGAAATTCAATTGCTTCCGTAGATTATTACACCATTAAATTATACTAAACACTTAAGTTAATAAAATAGTTTTACAATTTGAAAATCTGATATCTTTTATTTCTAGTAAGAAACTTTACATACCACAGAGCTATGATTTTATAAAATTTACATTTGCAGAATGTTCAT